AGGAAGGAATTCAAGGACAAGCCAGTGGCTTTAGATGGTACCTTTTATTGAAGCGGCAGTGTACAGCAGTAGCAGAGGGCCTGCTCCTTGCAGAGCACGGTTCCCCCACAGGCCAGAGCAGCAGCTCAGAGGCAATTCTGCAGGCATATTTATACCAACTTTTAATGCTATGTAAACCAAGAGGAGAATTATGCAGAAATTTCTGGAAAAAGGGTGGTACTTTCTGGGTCATCAGGTCTTTGCTATGGAAAGAGGCAGTAACTTCTGGGTGTTGCCATGACAATGGTAAACTGACATGGCACGCAGGTGTATATGTGTTAAGAGTAGGCGATTGTGGAAGACAGTGTGGCGATTCGTCAAGGACCTAGACATAGAAATTCCATTTGACCCAGCAATCCAAAGGATTATAAATCATTCTACTATAAGGACACATGCACACAAATGTTCATTGCAGCACTGTTTACAATAGCAAAGACCTGGAACCAACCCAAATGCCCATCGATGATAGACTGGACAGGGAAAATGTGGCACATATACACCATGGAATACTATGCAGCCATCAAAAACGATGAGTTCGTGTCCTTTGTAGGGACATGGATGAGCCTGGAAACCATCATTCTCAGCAAACTGACACATGAACAGAAAATCAAACACCGCATGTTCTCACTCATAGGCAGGTGTTGCACAATGAGAACACATGGACACAGGGAGGGGAACATCACACACTGGGGTCTGTTGGGGGGAAATAGGGGAGGGACAGTGTGGGGTGGAGATTTGGGGAGAGATAGCATGAGGAGAAATGCCAGATATAGGTGAAGGGGAGGAAGGCAGCAAATCACACTGCCATGTGTGTACCTATGCAACAGTCTTGCATGTTCTTCACATGCACCCCAAAAGCTAAAATGCAATAAAAAATAAAAAATTAACCCCCCCCCCCAACACACACACACACAAGAGTAGGTGCTTTCACCTTTTCCCTTTTTTAACTAGTTCTCAATCTGGTCTAGTGTCTGAGCCCTTTCTCCAAAGTCAGGTCCCACCTCCTGCCTCAGAAGAAGCTGGGCAAATATACTTCTTCCTCCTTTCATTCTGCTGTAGACTATTCCAGAGTCCTGCATGAGGAGAGGTTGGTAAAAGGCTGCCTGTAGTCCGCAGCTGATTGTGGAGTGTGGTACCAAGCAGTGTATTGTCTCATGATCCTTTGCCTCACTTTGTCTTTTTCTCACCTCACCATTCTGGCTGTGCACCTCTCAGATAAGCTTTCTAAACTTAAGCCTTGAGTCTGGCTCATCTTCAAAAAATTAAATTAAAAAATTAAAAAGGCTGGGCACGGTAGCTCACACTTGTAATCCTAGCATTTTGGGAGGCCGAGGCAAGCAGATCACTTGAGGTTCGGAGTTCAAAACCAGCCTGGCCAACATGGTGAAACTCCATCTCTACTAAAAAATACAAAAAATTGGCCGGGTGTGGTGGCACGTGCCTGTGATTCTAGCTATTCTGGAGGCTGAGGCAGGAGAATTGCTTGAACCTGGGAGGTGGCGGTTGCAGTGAGCCGAGATTGGCTGCTACACTCTAGACTGAGTGACAGACTGAGACTCCATCTCAAAAGAAATAAAAAAATAAAAAATAAAATAAAATAAAAGATCTAGACTAACACAGGTGTTTCGTTGAAGCCTAAGCTCTGCTTTCATTGTAAAGCTAACCTTTGACTTTTGTCTTATTAGACAGGATGCCAAATCAGCTGATTTGCCTAGGATTTCTCTACCTCTTTGAAATCAATGAATCATGTTTTCATCATATTAGGCATTTACATAATACCTTTGGGGCCAAGTGGCTTCTTCTTTCATACAAAGTGTGATATGTGATATTGGTTATTCTTGAAAAAATAGTATACGGAGACTTTTTGCCTTTTCTGCTACTTTGTTATACCCTAGTACAGTGTGACTGCTCCCACTGGTAGTCAGGAAATAGTAAGGGTGTGCTGCTTTGTTGAAGCTAAGACTGGAGTCACCATTTTACATGTAGCTTTGAAGCTTCAGTGTTAGGTGCTAAAATCCCAGTTTTCGTTTGTTTCTTTGTTGTTTTCATCGTTAAGAATAACTGAGAAGTGAGACTACATTATTCTTGCATTTTCTTTTTTTTTTTTTTTTTTTTTTTTTTTTTT